AGTATAATTTGAAGTTGGGCAGAGTGATGCCTCCAGCTTTGTTCTTTTTTCTCAGGATGGCTTTGGCAATTCGGGGTCTTTTGTGCTTTCATACATATCTGATGATTTTTTGTTCTATTTCTTTAAAAAATGCTGGTGGGATTTTGTTGGGGATTGCATTTTAATCTGTATAATGATTTAGGTAATAAGGTCATTTTAACTATGTTGATTCTTTCTATACTTGATTGTTTTTGGGTGCCAAAAAGGGAACCTTGAGTGACGTGTCCTCAGTACTCACAGAAAGTATATATTGTTTTACTGCTTACTGAGCTCATGTTTAGATAGGACAAATCACCTTTTCATGGATGAAAAAGCCAATGCTACTGGAAAAGTAAACTTTTGGAAAACAATGCCTGTCACTATTTTGAAATTTGAAAAATCTTACATTTAATTGATTTACATTCTTTATTCCTTGTGTAAAATGCTCCATAACATATTTTAAACTTTGGAAAGCTGCAATAAAAACACTCTAGTAAGAAAAAAACACTCTAGTAAGTGTCAGTGTTCCTTATTGGCAGAGGGACACTGTGTGCAGATCACATTGCCTCTCGAGTTACAAGACCTGTTTAATAGCCATATGAATTTGAGTACATTGTTTAACTTCTTTGGACTTTACTTTTCTTATCTATAAGGCAGAATTAACAATAATATCCTAACAGATATAAAAATATTAGATCTAGCTGAATTCGGAGCCATAAGCTCCGAATCTTTTGTGAATGAAGTGGTAAAGTCAATGGGATTCCTAAAGCTTCTCTGGCATCACGAAGCACAGAATCAAGTAAATGGTTAATAGCATATTGTATGTTGGATAATATTTTTAATAACGTAATAGCACATTTATATTGTGTTTCATGTAACTTTTTTTTCAAACTGAGGACATAATATTAATAGGCTACTTGGTGAACATGACTGTGGAGGCCCAGGGCAGTTTTTTCTGTTAATTTAGCTTGATGTAAAGAAGCACAGTGTCTTATTCTTATTTTTTTTTAATCTCCTTTTTAATTTAACTGGGTTAGTTGATTTTGACCTATATGTTTGGAACAACTAAGGCAAATAAAATATCATTTCTACCTAGAAATTAATTCAGATCTCACTACTGTATTCTGTTTCAACCAACTGTTTTGTGGCCATTTTTTATCACAGTTTCTGATCATTGCTAATCTTTACATGCAAAAGTAAAGATCTGAGAATGTATATAACTTATTTCTCTGTGATTTTATTATGTATCTTAATGAGTTCTTATTGTATTTCTCTAAAAAACTAAAGCTATTTATAAGTACAGAGCTCAGATTGTATAGTTATTATAAAAAAGTCTTTTTTTCTCACTGAGCTTCTGTATATTCTTGATACCTTATTTCTTCTTTTTCTCCCCCCAATATTTTCAGATGTTTTGGAATGTTATTAAGCCCAGGTCGAAACGTGAAGAACAGTGACATGCATTTACTGGATATGGTAATGATAATCTTAACACTTTACTCAAGTTTAGATGATAGTTATTTTGTATTTTTAAAGTTATTTTCTATTTTAAAGTTTTGTCATATTGTCAAAATTGTTTCTAACTTTCAGTTGTATAATAGTAATAATTAAATTTGGAAACCTAAACTTAAAATTACTTATGAGGGAGAGATTTAAGAAAATTTTCGGCCAACAATTATATGCAAATTGCAAGCAAATAAAAGGATAGCGTTATGACAATGTCCATCAATTCATCTGTTTGGCTTCTTAGGAAGATGTCTTCTTTGAGCCCAAAATAACAAGTGCATGATTATAACAGGCATATCCAGAGTGAATATGGTGTCTTTTATCTATTTTACTGCACTGTTATGAATTTAAATACTGCGATGGATGCTTTTGTTTTCTGTAAAGCATTTCCCTTTCTAAATTTCTTCTCCTTGATTATGTCATTAGCAAAGTATATTTACTGGGAGTGGTAT